TTAAATCTCAGTTCCCTGACACTGAAATTATTTTTGGCTCTTGCTTTTTTTCTCATTTATCACAGTTGTATGTTGTGTGTTTATTTTGTGTCTGTCTCTCCCTCCAAATTAATAGGTTCATGAAGCCATAGAACATATTAATAATTTCTTTGTTCACATTGCATGCCCAGCTCTTGGTGGAGAACCTAGCTATAGTAGGATATAGTGATATGAAAAATAAGATATTGTAAAAAATCATAGTTCCATCCACCCAGGTTCAGAGGTAGTTTTATTTTCTGCCTTGATCCTGAGATTCATTCCTTGTGAGAAGGGACAGGACTTCATTTGGTTTGAAATTTAAAAAACTGTATTGACAAAACCTGAGCCCTAATCCCCACAGCAATTTATTTCCGTGCGTATTCAGAATATCTGTAGCTTGACGGAGCAGTGGGAACGTACATGCATAAATGTTTTGGAAAAAAGAAAATCTTCATTAGATTTGCTTCCAAACTCCTATTAAATTAGGTGTTCAATCTGGTACCTTAATTTTGGTTGAAGATTTACCCATAATTATTTTCAATGCATGACTCTTTTCTTTTGGTGTTGGATTCAGTTATCTTTAATTTCTTCCCCAAATGGCATTTACCGTTATATAGAAAGTGTTCTTCAATTGACTGAGCTGCTGTGGGGATTAATCTAAACCACAGGCAGATCTGGATATCCATTGTAACAGACGTTCCAAAGGATTGAAGTTGGTGGTAGCTTCTAATATGGTGGCTGTTATTTACCCATTGCGTTCACCATCAGATCAAGTCCATACTGAGATGAGGCCAACATCTGTTTTCTTTTTTTTTTTTCCATCTGTTTTCTTTTTAATTGAAGTATAGTTGGTGGACAATATTATATAAGTTACAAGTATAGGTATACAATATAGTGATTCACAACTTGTAAAGGTGATACCCATTTATAGTTATTATAAAATATTAGCTATATTCCCTATGTTATACAATATATCCTTGTAGCTTATTCTATACACAATAGTTTGTATCTCTTAATCCCCTACATCTGTGTTGCCCCTCTCCACTTCCTTCTCCCCAGTAGTAATCAGTAAATTATTCTCTATGAATCTCTTTTTTTTGAGGCCAGTTATCTTTTGATGTAAGCAGTAAAATTGTTGGTTATTAATATAGTGGTATGGTCTGGGAGCATATCTGAGTAATGAGAGATAATAAAGGATGAGCTGACATTAGGAAATTGGCAATGGTTGTCTGAGGAGGCCTTACGAGTAGCCTCCTCTCTTGTAAGGAGTCCTTACAAGAGAAATAAGAGAGTGAAAGGCAAGGGAGAAAAGGAAAGATGTACCCATATGAATGCAGAGTTCCAAAGAATAGCAAGGAGAGATAAGAAAGCCTTCCTCAGCGATCAATGCAAAGAAATAGAGGAAAACAATAGATTGGAAAGACTAGAGATCTCTTCAAGAAAATTAGAGATACCAAGGGAATATTTCATGCAAAGATGGGCACAGTAAAGGACAGAAATGGTATGGACGTAACAGAAGCAGAAAATATTAAGAAGAGGTGGCAAGAATACAAAGAAGAACTATATAAAGAAGATCTTCATGACCCAGGTAACCACGATGGTGTGATCACTCACCTAGATCCAGACATCCTGGAATGCGAAGTCAAGTGGGCCTTCGGAAGCATCACTACGAACAAAGCTAGTGGAGGTGATTGTATTCAGCTGAGCTATTTCAAATCCCAAAAGATGATGCTGTGGAAGTGCTGCAATCAGTATGCCAGCAAATTTGGACAACTCAGCAGTGGCCACAGGACTGGAAAAGGTCAGTTTTCATTCCAATCCCAAAGAAAAGCAATGTCAAAGAATGCTCAAACTACCACACAATGGTACTCATTTTTCATGCTAGCAAAGTAATGCTCAAAATTCTCCAAGCCAGGCTTCAACAGTACATTTACCAAGAACTTCCAGATGTTCAGGCTGGATTTAGAAAAGGCAGAGGAATCACAGGTCAAACTACCAACATCTGTTGGATCATCGAAAAAGCAAGAGAATTCCAGGAAAACATCTATTTCTGCTTCATTGGCTATGCCTTTGACTGTGTGGATCACAACAAACTGTAGAAAATTCTTCAAGAGATGGGAATACCAGACCACCTGACCTGCCTCTGGAGAAATCTGTATGCAGGTCAAGAAGCAACAGTTAGAACTGGACATGGAACAACAGACTGGTTCCAAATTGGGAAAGGAGTACGTCAAGGCTGTATATTGTCACCCTGCTTATTTAAATTATATGTAGAATATATCATGTGAAATGCCAAGCTGGATGAAGCACAAGCTGGAATCAAAATTACAAGGAGAAATATCAATAACCTCAGATACGCAGATGACACCACCCTTATGGCAGAAAGCGAAGAGGAACTAAAGAGCCTCTTGATGAAAGTGAAAGAGGAGAGTGAAAAAGTTGGCTTAAAACTCAACATTCAGAAAATGAAGATCATGGCATCCGGTCCTATCACTTCATGGCAAATAGATGGGGAAACAATGGAAACAGTGATAGACTTTATTTTCTTGGGCTCCAAAATCACTGCAGAGGTTGACTGCAGCCATGAAATTAAGAAACATTTGCTCCTTGGAAGACAAGCTATGACAAATCTAGGCAGTATTTTAAAAAAACAAAGAGATTACTTTGCCAACAAAGGCCTGTACGGTCAAAGCTGTGGTTTTTCCAGCCGTCATGTATGGATTAAGAGTTGGTCCATAAAGAAGGCTGAGCACCATAGGATTGATGCTTTTGAACTGTGGTGTTCGAGAAGACTCTTGAGAGTCCGTTGGATTGCAAGGAGATCAAACCAGTCAATCCTAAAGAAAATCAGTTCTGAATAGTCATTGGAAGGACTGATGCTGAAGGTGGAGCTCCAATACTTGGATTACCTGATGTGAAGAGCTGACTTATTAGAAAAGACCCTGATGCTGGGAAAGACTGAAGGCAGGAGGAGAAGGGGATGACAAGATGAGATAGTTGGATGGTGTCACCGACTCAATGGACATGAGTTTGAGCAAGCTCCAGGTGATGGTGAAGGACAAGGATGCCTGGAGTGCTGCAGTCCATGGGGTCGCAAAGAGTCAGACACAATTGAGGGACTAAACAACAACCTTAGGGAGAGTGTAGGTGATCACTTAGATACTTAGGTCATGATCAATCTCTCACTTTACCATTTCTTTCCCTTTCCTGTTCTTACCCTCTCCTTCCTTATGTCAAATTCCCCAATTCAAGAAACAGAAGAAATTTTTGAAGTCGTATAGTCTGTCACCCATTGTTTTGTAGGGTCTTTCTGGTGAAAGTCTCACACAACTAATTGTCTATACATCTGAAGTCCGACGCCTCCACTAGTTCTCTTTAAACATCAGACTGAAAGCAAAAACCACTTTGCTTGAAATTCCAGGTTTTCTGTAGATTTCCTGTCCACTGGGCTAAAAGCTCCTTAATCATGGGACCAAGGCTTAATCATCTCTGTTCCTCTGACTCTTGATACGCGGCCAACAGAAATCACATGATCTGCTCAGAGGAGTGTATATCGATTAGTACTGGTTCCAACTTACTGTTCCAAAGTCTCCTGCCCCGGCTGCCCCCAACAGGCCCTGTCTCCAGCTTCACTGAGCGTTTTCCCATTGCCTAAGCAGGCCGGGTCCTTTTAGGGGTTCCTACCTTTTTCCACTTTGCTTTCCCTGCCTGTGGTGCTTCTCCTTTGCTATGGCTGACTCATTCTTCAAGACTCACACCAGATTCCTTTATCAGTCTTGAACAGTTGTCTGTTCAGATCTTGATTACAGCACTTGCCATTTCTGTATTGCAAGTGTCTGCTTAGGTGATAAGAATAGTAGCCATTTGTGGGACTTCCCTAGGGGTCCAGTGGTTAAGACTCAGCTTACTGCAAGGGGCGCGCTCTGGATACTGGTAGAGAGCTAAGATCCTGCAATGCCGGGCAGTGAGGCAAAGAGGAAAAAAAACAGCCAATCTAGAGAACAAATCCATGGTTGCCAGGGTTCAGGAGAGAAGAAGTTAAGGGATAGTACAAGGGAGTTTTTTGTAGTGAGAGAATAGTTCTATTTCTTGATTGTATTGGTAGTTCTATGACTATATGTGTGATAAAATTTCATAGAATATATATACCCCAGAAAATGAGTTCATGCAAAAACTGGTGAAATCTAAGTCAAATATTGTCTAGTTAATTGCCAATTTTGTGGTTTTGATAATATGCCATAGTTATGTAAGAAGTAACGTTCTGGGGAAGCTGGGTGATGGTGACATGGTACCTCTCTGCATTATTTTGCAGTTTCTCTTGAACTTATAAATATTTCAAAATGAGAAGGTTTTTTAGATGGTCATTCATGGCTATTAAATTAGGAAAATATGTGTAAATACTAATATCTGATGCTGGTGTATTATAATCTATATTGCTGGTGGTAGTATAAAACCATAAGCATGTATTATATATAGTATATATTATGAACCATGGATGTTCATGACTTTGACCTTATAATCTCCATTTATAGTCATTTATCCTAAGAAAATAATCCCCTCAAAAATGTAATTTGATATATAATTATAGATAATATAATTTGTAATAACAATAGCAGTGTAGATAAAGTAATTTGTAATAGCAAAATAGCCATTTATCTAAGAAAACTTTAGTATTGAAGAGGTAGGTGACTAATTAAATTATGGCACACCTCCTGACTGTAATATTATTTAAATAATAAAGTGGTAAGTATGAAACAAATAGTTATACTCTTTATATACAAGAAATGTGTATGAAGAAATAAATGCAATTTTATTTGTTGACATTGCTTTAATATTTATATAATTCTAAAACATAATACCAAGGTATGGCAAATAGATCCATAAAATTAAAATTAACTTTGTTGAATGGTTATTTAATTTTTTAATCTCTGACACTAATGATTATTTAAAATTCTTGAACTCTTGATCTTGTTTATTTCCAGTTCTGTCCGCTTTGCCGTTTAGTACCTAATGAGAATCGAAGCAGCTTCAATGGCAGCTTAATAAGACATCTGCAAGTCAGTCACACTTTGTTTTATGATGATTTCTTAGTAAGTGTATTTTCTTCCTTCTATATTATGTTTTTATGCTGTATTAAGCTTACCTTTCTTAATATAAGAAGTCTTATTATAAGATTATAGGGGAAAAATGCATATATAGCTGCAGTGTTAAGTATTAGTATTAAGGAGGAAACATAGAAACACAGTGTTTTATAAATTGTGTTTTATAAATATATATATCACAAATATATATATTTTATATATAACTCCTTTAAGAGTAGTACCTAAAAAAAAAAAGAGAGAGAGTAGTTACCTGCTTTAGACAAAATCATTTTCTTTGTGTTGCAAATAATTAGCCATTGTATAAAGACCCAGATTTCACTTTCCAGTTATTTTAATTTCTACTTTAATGCCTCCCACTAAATAGTTATAATTTTTATGAAGTTAAAAACATATTAACTGAGAGAAGATCATATCAGTAAATGAAATGGCTCAGAGAATTTGCACTCATTTTATAATACACTGAATGGCCAATAACAGATACAACATTATCAATGTAGTGAGACACATGGGCTCTATTTTTAATTTAAATTTTATAAAATATAAAAATCATGTTTATTCAATGTTTTTCAACTTAAATTATTATGAAAAAATTTTAGACATATATAGAAGTAGACAGAATTATATAGTGAATCTCTGTATACTGACCAGCTACTCATCAATAATGGCCAAGCCATTCTCATTTTAGCCAGAATTTTTTTTAAGATGAAAGAAAAATCTGTTATAGTATGAATAGTTCTGATACTTATGACTCAATTTCCCATTATCAGAAATGGTAAAACAAGCTAAAGGTTAGCATAGCTTTTGTTTTGCTTTGGTCCGTGTGAGAGGGATGCATTGTCCCATGAGTCCTTTTCAGCAAAGGGGATTGCTTATCATGGGGACATTCATAGCCGTGTTCTGAAATGGTACATTTTATTGTTATGTCTATCGAAATACATGAAATGTTAAGAGTTAAATTTGAATTTGCATATAATTTTCACATGATTTTGACTATTTTCTTTTTATGCAATTTCAAATGGAATTTAATAATTATTGAAGATTATCATTTGAAAAATTTCCCCATGCATTCTGATGTGCCCAGGCTGATTATCCAGATTCAACACAAGGAAGCTGGGTTTCAGTAACAGTCCTGTCACAACTTGTGACCTTGGGCAAAGTATTAACTTTGGAGCCTCTGTTCATTTGTTAAAGTAAGGACTAAGCAAAGTACATACTGTTTCCAAATGCTCTCGTGGGGATTAAATGAGATGATGCATGTCAAGTGATTTACTCAGTTTGGGCATGGATGTTAGGCAAACTGGAGATGGGGAGAGAGTAAATGGAAATATTAGGACCACTTGAAGAATTGAACAGACCACACCACAGAGGCTTCATAATCTCTCCTCGGTCTCTCAAATAATGTTTTTGTCTGGCCACTAAGGCACACAAGCCCTCAAGAGAGCCACGTGTCCTCATTTTTCATAACACGTAGGGGTTCCTCTTTATCGTAGCTCCATGAGATGTTCTAAAAGCCAGGTTGATTCCATACCTGTTCTGACTCTTCATTGTTCAGTCCATTCTTTTCAAGATCATTCACAGTATGACCTAGGGCTGGCCAGGAAGAGGTCACTTTGGTGAGAATACTCTCCATCCCCTCAAAATTACATTCTTGGATGTGGAAGTGAGGTCAAAACAGTGTTCTTTGTTTTGATTTTTTGTTTCCTCAACTACCAATGCTAGGCACTTTATGCAAGTTGTCTCATCTCATTCCTTGTAGCAACTTCTGTGAAGTGCATACTGTATTATTATCCTTACATATCCTTACATATTATCCTTATCCATATTATCCTTAGCTATGAAGTATCTGATGCTCAGAGGTTAATAAATTGCCTCAGAACAACCTGGCATTGAAAAAGACCCTGATGCTGGGAAAGATGGGAGGCAGGAGGAGAAAGGGCGATAGAGGATGAAATGGTTGGATGGCATCACTGAACATGAGTTTGAGCTTACTCCAGGAGATAGTGAAGGACAGGGAAGCTGAGCGTGCTGTCGTCCATGGGGTTGCAAAGAGTCGAACATGACTTACCTACTTAACAGCAACCTGGCATTAAGTCCAAATATTGTGCTCTGCTCTGTTTTGTGACTTTCTTGTGGATTTTATTTATTTGCTTTTATGTTTTAGAGTGAACTTCCAGTAAAGATTTTATTTTCTTAGTTTATTGGTGAAGAGGAGATGGGTAGAAGATGGGGCTCTTAGTTTTTATTTACAGAATGTGCTGACCTAAAGTTTTGAATTCAGTTTTGGCCGTAAGGAGGCAAGGAGAAAGAGCATTTTGTTTCCAACATTCTTTTTTCAGAAGTAGATATTCAGTAGTACTGCTGGGAATGGTGAATCCTATGGGAATGTCTTAACTTGACTCCACATTACATGTTTATGTGGAGCATAGCACTCTGACCTGAATTTGTAATACTGACTAAAAACTATTATAGTTAGTTCAGATAAAAAACTTTAAATTCCAGATCAAGACTATTTTATTAATAATGATAGCTAGTTAACTGATAGACAGTGAAAATGAAATAGAAAATGCACAAGCCCCAAAGCAAAAGTCCTAGGTTCTATGAGTTTTTTTTTTTTTGGTGTGTGTGTGGAAACTGGGGGTTGAATTCAGGGCTTTACTTCGCAAAATGAGGCATTGTCTTAACATTCATCCTCCAGTTGCTGAAAACTGTCATGTCTGACTGTATGTTTCTAATTCTTTTTCTTTATTGTAGGATTTCAATATAATTGAGGAAGCTCTTATTCAAAGGGTCTTAGACCGATCACTTCTGGAATACGTGAATCACTCAAACACCACATAACTGTATTAAAAGAAAAGAGAAGGAGGCCGTACAATTGCACCATTTTTTTTTTTTTTTAAGATGCTGCTTGAAAAATTGTAGGGAAGCTGTCAATGTCTGATGGGCAGAAAAGTGTACAACACATTCTATGTTTGTCCATGTTTATTGTTGTATTGCATTTTAAAACTGCTTTCACTTTGATGACTTAGGTCTGTTTTATGTTGTTGAGTTTCTTAGACACTTAACAGCAAAAAAGTCTCCATCAGCCATTAATACATGAAAGAGAATATAAGGCTGAGTATGTGGGTGAAGGATCTTTATTTGCAAATCGGATGACGTTGTGTGTAATGCTACATGCTGATAACTACTCTTATGATTGGACAAGATAACTAATCTTTGTTCTATGGAGAGTGAAACAAAGTGTGGACACTCAAGGAAATGTGAGATCTGTTCCAGTGCTCATGTTCTAACAACTAATAGAATAACACCAATAACCTTGTATGGGAGTAGGAAAGGAAAATTTTGGAAGTCAACAACGATCATTTAACCAAATCTATAACATAATACTGTAACAATACTGTAATTTCATGGTAGGAATGTATACTTAGTGCTTTGACTTTTTATAACTATACACATATAAGAATTTAATATTATATTTTTCAAATATTTGTAGCTTATTATTTAGAAATATTTCTATAATATAAGCAACTTCTTAAGAACCATCAGCCGAGATTTACAGTAGAAGTATTCCCATCCATAATTTTTAGTGGAAAATCCTAAGGGCTTTGATTTTTTTTTTTTTTAGTTTTATCTTTTAGAAAAATTATGAAATAAATACTGAAAACCAAACAGAAGATGTATAGCTTATTACATTATTGTAAGGAAACAGTCTTTCAGAACTCTGCCAGTCACCTTGGATGTCCTCTGTGTGTCCTATCAAAGTTAACAACTCTCTTCCCCAGCCCCACGGAAGTAACCACTACATTGATTTTAACAGTACTCACTTCCTTGTACTTCTTAGTTTATCCCCCAAGTCTGTATCTCTATACTAGCTTTTAATCTTACTCACATTGCTTTGTTAGCTAGATCTCTTAATGTCTCTTTTTAATCTGTGGGTTGTCTCTTCTTTCTTTCCCTTAAAATTTATCTGTTGAAGAACCTGGTCTTATACATACCCAACTATCTGTATTTTGTTAATAGTATACTCATGGCTCAATTCAGAATGTTCTTCTGTCATCTGGATATGATACATGGATCCAGAGGTTTGAGCAGACTCAGTTTCAACCTTTTGACCAGACTGTATAGATCATGGTGTATTCTTTCAACAGAGGGCAGAGAATGTCTGGTTCGCTCTTTTTGTGATGTCAGCTGAAATGGATATGCCTAGATCCACTGATTTGTTGTGGTTTAGAGTTTCTGTCATTTCTTTTTCATTTATTAGTTGGAACATTTTTATATATAAAGAGATGTTGCTCCCCCTATCTACTGTTTGGTTAACCAGTGGTCAAGCTCATAGAGGAAAAGAAAAATAAATACTTGAATCTTCCCCTTGATTTATCAATTTTCAGGCTAATAAACTTGTTTTCTATTATCTTCTGTACATCACTTTTTTAAGTGTAGTGAACTCATGGATTCAAACATACTTGATGGACTTTAATCCATTTTGAGTATTGCCCTATTAAAGCTAAAATTGTCCTATTTTTGGTCATTGGGAGCCTTATCAAGTTGACTTTGAGTCCTTTTGACACTATTCTAGCAGTCTTTAATGGCTTCCTTATAGTCTCCTGTGACAAGATATTTCAGGCTCAACGTGTATGTTTTCTGCACCAGATCTGGAATCGGCCATTTCTCTTAAGAAGCCTGGTTCCTTTCAGTGAGAAATAGTGCTTCAAAACCATATTTGGGACTGTCAACTATATCTAGTTGTGGCTATATTGGTTATTGTTTCTAGGAGAGAGCTAAGAAATACCTGTTTTTCTCTAAGATAGTACACTTCATGAGTTATTTTTATATTTCCAAATCAAATTAAGTATTGCAAGACTTTTGCCTAATCCTTTCTATTAGAGTTGTGTCTTTTATTTTTCTGTACGAGAGTCCAGATTTTCAAGGACATAGGAATATCCCACAATTATTTGTTTTCTTCAACTGCCTTACAAATGCAACAGTTTCAGAATAATAGTATTAATAAACCACCACCATTATGATAGCTGGAACAATTTAAAATGTTTTTCGTTTGTTCTCCCCAATCTCCTATTTTTTAAAGTTGTACTAAAAAATAAATAAATAAAGTTTTATGATATCAACGTTTTCAGGCAATTCCCTGGTGGTCCAGTGCTTAGGATTCTGTGCTTCCACTGCCATCCAGGGAAGTCACTTCCTCCTGTTTTAGATACTGGCTTCAAGTTTGCTTTTCACAGCTGCTAACAACTGACAGCAGATTTGAAGTTTCATGACCTCTCTTCCTGCAGTTTGGATGGGTCATCCAATAAAGCAAAACCTATTGGGCAACAAAGACAAAAGGAGAGGAACTTCCTAGAGATAATCATTAGATTGAAAAATCTCGTCCCCGAAAAATAAAAGAATATATTTCTGAGTATTAGTACTTACTAACCAGAAAATAAATTTTGGTTAATTCTGAGCAATACAAATTTATCTTTAAATCTGTAAAACATGAAAAAACTTCCAAACTTAGAAACTGTATTGTGAGTAAAGCTTTAAGTCACCTGCCACTGTTAAACCTCAGTATAGCAATTCTGCATCCTGTCTCTCGGTTCCTCTTATGATAAGTTTACCCCCTTGTTCAGCTGCTAGATCATGTCTGACTCTGCCACCCCATGGAGTGCAGCTCTCCGGGCTTCCCTTTCCTTCACTATCTTCCGAGGTTTGCCCCCTACAGGACAAATGAGGTGCTGGCCGCCGGAATTATTTTGTCTTTTGCATTATTTTGAGTTTTAAAATAGTGAAATGCAACTCTTATTCATTGTTTCACTGTGCCTTTAACCTTTTATAAAAAAAGAATTTATAATTCATTGTTTTAAAAAATGAAAACCAGTATTTGAAGCTTTTGATTAATAACAAAAATCTTGTTCTTTTTTTTTTTTTTAATAGCACCTCAAGATGCCAATGTTTCAAGGCCTTTTGAGGGAAAAACTAATTCATATATGATTCTTAAAAGGCTAAAGTCTTCAAATCCTACAAAAAGCTATGGAGATTTTCCTTTAATGTGTTTTTTTCTCCCAAGTTTCTAAAATGTATGTTGAGAAATTGGATTGCGAGTCTATGATGAAGATACTTCTAAGTCAGATCTCTTAAAAGGTCTTAGCTCAAATGATATTGCTTTATTACTTTTACTGGGTGCTAAATGTGTTGTGTTTTCAAGTGAGCTTAGCAACAGTTATTAAACGTGTTTAACATATAATTAGTACCTTCGATTAGCATTGAAGTTACTTTTAAAGGTCACTAAGAGATTCATCCTTTTATTCAACTGCAAAAAAATCTGTATAATTATCAGAATTTAAAATGTACAATTCTTTTTCTTTTGTAAATACGTATTATTGTGAGAAATAAAGAATGGCAGGACCATTGCTTTCATTAAAATATCTACAGTGTATGTTTTCTTTTTTTGGCTATTCTAGGTTTTCATTGCTTCAAGGACTTTTCTCTAGTTAAGGGGAGCCAAGCTACTCTATGGGCTTCTCTGATAGCTCAGTTGGTAAAGAATCTCCCTGCAGTGCAGGAGACCTGGGTTGGCAAGATTCTCTGGAGAAGGAAATGGCAACCCACCCCAGTGTTCTTACCTGGAAAATCTCATGGACAGAAGAGCCTGGCGGGCTACAGTCCATGGGTCTGGTTGCAGTGCACAGGCTTCTTCTATAGCACGGGCTCTAGGGCCCAAGCTTAATAGATGCGCACGAGTTTTGTTGCTCCACTGGTTGTGGGATCTTCCCTGATCAGGGATTGAACCTATGTCTCCTGTATGGGCAAGCAGATTCTTTACCACTGAGCCACCAGGAAAGCCCTCTACTGTGTCTGTTCTTAAACATGGATCTTGATAATGTTTTACATTTAATACTCTTTTCATGCTTTTAAATCTGATATTTTTAAATTGTCATCATTCAGCAGTATCTATCACAGAAATACACCTTCGTTTAGGCTGGTAGTTCCTGGTCAGAAGCAATTGTGCCTCTCAGAACATTTGACAACATCTAAAGGCATTTGGGGTTGTCATAACGGGGACGTGCTATTGCCCAGAATGTGGGTCAAGGCCACGGATGCTACTCACATGGGACAATCCCTCACAACAAGAATTTCCCTGCCCCAAATGTCAGTAGTAGTGAGGTTGAGAAACCCTGGTTTAAGTCAAGGTAATGTTAAGCACCATGGGAATTATTATTGGTTCTGCTTCCAAGGGGCTCCACTGAAATTTAAAAAACCAGATGAAGATGAATGTTTTGTATCCTTCTCCCTGCCAAATACATATTAAGCTTTGGGTGGCCATGGCTCCAGTTCAGAATATGCTAAAACATAGGAAAGGTTTTTGGATTCTTCACAAGAGGCACAGGCCAGAACACAGGTCTTAACAGAGACCTGTGGTTGACTGTTTTCTGAGTGACGTCCTAAAAGATATCGGGAACCCAGAATGGTTTGGGAAGACTTAATCTGTATCACTTAGGTTATAGTTATTGAAGTCAATAAGGTAAAATATAAGAGAGGTGTTAGCACAAAAATATTGGCTTTCTCTGTACACTGAAGCTGAGTAAAAAAATATGGAGACAGTTTAGAGCAAATAGAAAGGCTTCAATCCTCAGCCAGCTTGAGGGGAATACAGCAGGCTAGTGCTCAAGAACTGTGCCCTCCTCCACTCCCCCATCTCCAATCCCCTGCTAGGGGAACTGAGAGACTTTATATAACCTGGATCTCACAGTCTGAGGGCTCAGAGTAATAAAGGTCTTGCATTCTTCTTGCTTTGTTTCAAAACAGTCATAGCTAGCGTCAGGTAGCCTGGTAATTGGGCTGGGCAGTCCGGTAGCCCAGTCATTGGGTCCATTTGTCCTGGTTTATTGTACCATAGCCTTTTTTCTGAAATGCAGAAAGAAAGAAAACTACAAAGGGTGGTCTGTGGTAAAGGTAAGCACCAGGTACAGGATGTAATTAGCATAGAGTTAATAATAGGCACAGAATGTAGCTCACGCAGAGTGAGGGAG